ATTCCCAAACCAAGGCGCAGTTGCAAACGCAGTTTGCCTAAAAAAAGTTGCGATGCAGTTACGCGAGGAAGCGGGAAGCAAGTGGGGGTGACGGCAGTGCGACGATGGAACGTCAAGCTCCGGAGCTGGCGACGAGCGACCAGGATCCATTCTCCATGGCCGCCCCGGGCCCCAAGGTGGGGGGGGGGGGGCGCACCAAGTCGCCTTTCGGTTGGGAAGTAGGAACATTAACCGCTCAACTTTTTTAGGCCCGAAGTTTCTAAAAAAAACAACTATTAGGCCTGATTGATTAGGGTATTAAAGCATCTACAACCGAACTCCTCAAAAGTCCGCGGATATGCCTCATCAATGACCAGACAAGAGAAGGAAAAAATTAACTTAATCGGACCCCTCATATCCTTTATATGTCTGGGCTGTCCGCAAATCCTTGTATTGAGGACAAATATAGGGACGTGTCCGATGAGTCGGCCACGTAGGACGGGGCCCACCCGAACCACATTTTTTTTCTTTATTTCATTTTTTCTTTATTTCTCTTCATCTTCATCAATCACGTCCAAATGACCGAATATATGAGGGCAAAAATGGAAAGTGGATATATGAACGGATAAATAAAGTTTCAAAACGGACGTTTATGGGGGCATGTATTGGCCAGCCGCAAAGGGCCTAGCAGACACGAAGGCTCGGTAGTAGGCACGTACACGCTGAGATGCAGCGAGTCCACGACGATTGCGAGAAATTCCTTCATTTGTCAGTTTCCTTCCCAGGGCGAGTCGTGACCATCCCTATCCCTGGCCCCCGCTCAGTTTCCTTCCGAGGGCGAGTTGCTGCCGCTGGAAGAACCGCCGCCTCCACTCCGCTCTCTGAATGTAACCACCCCGTCCTTCCACTTGCTCGAAAAACTCTTCCTCTCCGCAACCGCGCAGCCATGGCGATGAGGTTGTTGCCGCGCCTATGCCTGCTCCTGTGTTCTCTCATCGGCGACGCGCGCTCCTCGCCGGCGCTTCAGAGGCTCAATGCAAGCGCCGCTGAAAACCGTACGACCGATCCCCTTGCTTTGGTTTCTACTACCGTCTGCAGTTTCCTTGCCCACGCACGCAGGGTTGCGCCTCCTGACTTACTGGATGAGTTTTGCGTTGCTTGCAGCCCATATACCACCGGGTGTCGGCCGTGCCCTCTCGGCCCCTCTCATCGGCCACGGCGGCCGCCTCGTCGCTTGCTCCGGGAAGAACCTACTCGCTTTCGAGCCAAACGGATCCTTCGCGTGGATCATTTCCCTTGGATACAACTGTAAACAAGAGATCAGCTTGGTTGCCGAGAGGGACGAGGTAAATCCAATTCTCATTGCTGCTGCATTGTGAACACTGCATTGTGAACACGCTTTCATACTCATACGTGGTGGCAGAGAATAAGGTGAATCGATTGTGCAGATATACTTGGTGGCAGAAGATAAGGTCATAAAAGTAACTCCACAAAACTTACACACCAGTGCCCCAACATCACAAGTGTTTTTCAGTCACGGTTCACCACCAGGGAGGTCCAAGGAGATCATCGGCCTATCCACCAGCAGCAGCTATGCATCTCTTTTCATCACCATTAGGAACCGTGGTCTTTTCTCTTTCTCGTTGCGTGACGGGAAGCTGCAGTGGAGTGCCGGGCCTGTGGTGGATCGCTTCGGTTACCGTCTAGGCTGCAAGGGCAACAACATCTCAGCCTGCTATTTCAATTCATCTCCAATTGTTGATCAATGCGAGGGCACTCTTTATGTAAGGCCTTATTTCACTGGGCAGTGTTTTTCTGTAACTCCCATGGTTTAGTCTTCTCATCTTTTTCACCCTGCCATTTTAATTTCATATGACTTTGCAGATATCAAATACCGAAGGCCAGCTCTATTCCATGTACATTCATAGCCGTCAGTATAGATGGGTCCAAGACTTGAGCTCGATCGACAAAGTCGTGACAATTGCACCGGGAAATAATGGCCGCCTATACATTGTCCTTCCGAGAAAGTCAACTGTCATGGGGCTTGATGTACTGTCAGGAAACATTTCATGGCAGCTGAGTGTTGGTCCACTTAGTAATGAGAAAATCTTGCCAGCTGTGGATTCCAATGGTAAATCATCCATCTGGATTTTGAAACATGTTTGTTCCTTCGCTAATTCATTCGCATCTGGAGCTGTTTAATTCTCATGGGACTTTAATTGTTTTGTTTAACTGCATTCTCTTCAACATTCGTATACCGAACATCTATTTGCATGATAATTTGTACTCCCTCTGTAAACTAATATAAGAGCGTTTAGATCACTACTTTAGTATTCTAAACGCTCTTATATTAGTTTACGGAGGGAGTATCATATATCACCTTTCATGCTACTTTGTTCAACTGTTGTAACAGGTTGGATATCAATTGGCTCGTTAGATGGGATCTTGTATTCAATTTCTCCTGATGGTGATATCAGAAAGTTTCTTCAAAGAACAGCACCTAATTCAGTGATCCATTCAAGTCCAGTCCTGGACTGCTCAGGGTTTTCGGTCTACATCAGCCAGACCATAATGGAGGCAAAATCAAGTCAAACTATCGGTGATTACACCTATGTATCGGCGATGAAGCCATCAAGCATCTTGTTTACTTTGTTGGCTCCAGCAACTGGAACGGTCTACTGGACTGAAAAGTATCCTGGTTTGTTTCGTTCTTTATATGAATGTGTCATTCTTGTTCCTCCAAAATGGTGGCGTAAAGCTATTTTTTTATGTGGTATTCATTTCCTTACCAGGAGAATTATCGAATTTGTTGTCCGGTAGTGACCTGGACTACTTTACACTAGATGAGACCATTCTTCTCACTGCTCTATCTTCTGCAAGTAAGTCTTGTTTAGCTCTTGAATCCTCGATTAAGTAATTGGTAAAGTTATACTCCCTCCGCCCCAAAATAGGTGTCGCTGATTTAATACTTATTTTGGGATGGAGGGAGTACCTGATATCAACTAATTTGCAAAGCTTTGAGCTCCTGAAATTTCTTGTCACAGGAATCGGCAACACCGTGCAATGCTACACGAGAAGTATGCTTTCTTTTCTCATGTATCTAGTTGATTTTCCATCCTAATGTTGTATTGTCTTACCTAGTACTTCACCTCTTTGTTCTGCAAGGGCAAAAGATTGCTTGGACTTGCAGAAAAGCAAAACCAAAGTTTGTTCATGGTGATCCAGGTGACATTCAAGTTGTGACATTTTTCTTCTTTTGTTGCTGTTGTTTAGTTAGAAATGCATAATTACCAACTAAGTAATGTACATCCATCAGGTGACCACAACCATGTCCTTCTGTTGTTCTTTTTCCAACTCGTTGTCATTGTGGTACTAGCGGTAATTGTGCGGTTTTGCTGCATCTTCTGGAGGAAGAAAAAGCTTCAAAACAATGGCTTGCAAAAGTTCCTGGAAAAGAGGGTACGTATACTAGAAACATAGTTTAGGGTGACTTCCCTGAACTATGGTCTGAGTCTGACATCTACCTTCTGAAATGCAGCGTTCTCTTCACAGCAAGAGGAGAGTCTTAGGCAAGATTATCTCTGAGTTAGAGCAGAAGGCGGTCGAAGACGTCGAAGGCGCCTCTTCAAACAAAACTTTGGAGCAATTGGGTGAAATGGTGAAAGCCAAGGATGGTGTTGAGAGGAAGCTGTACACATCATACAGTCTTGGCAGGGACGTCCTGGGCTTGAGACAAGGCTCTTCCATATTGCCCCTTTACAATGGAAAGCACAAGAGTCACTCATTTCACGGCGCACATAGAGAAAGCATTACGGTCTTTAATACGCTCAGCGAGAGCTCTACTTCGGAGGATAGAACAAGCAGTAGCTACTCCAGTGACAGTGGGAGCTGCAGCAGTGGTAGTAGATTTGAAGAAATGGAACTGGACACAAGATCCAAGTCAGCAGAAGAGGCTGGACTTTCAGAGGATATTGCCAAGGAAGCTCAAGACAAATTGCCAGTAGAAGTCGCATCATCGTATCAGGCATTTATGAATCCGTTGTATGTGCAAGGAGAAAGCACTAGCAAATCACCTTCGCAGAGGGAAGCATTTCCGATGGAGACCATGCAGCACGATGTTGCACCAACCAAGAGAATGTGGCTGAAGAGGAGGCGAAGTCTGTCCTCAACAAACTGATGTAACTCAACGAATTAGATGAAGATTTATCTTGCTTGATTGTCGATGGTAATTATGTTCCTAGAAAACTAGGATGTTATTTATTGTGGTTCATTTGTGCAAGTTTATACTCAGATGCATATGGACCTGGTTCTGTTTCTTCTTCTTGCAGGGCATCATTCATTTTGATTCAGATTGCATACAAACAACAAAAGTGAGAACTGCCCTTAACTTTATATAACTGTCATTTTGTTTTGCCAAATTTGAGCAACATTCAGATGGAAAATGTGTAACACCTGCTCCAGTTACCAAATATAAATGTTCTCTCCCCTGACCAAATATTGTACAGTTTCAATAATTTAAATGGACATAGAAGCTAATAAATAAAACTCTATGCTGGTTCAGTTAGCCCAGGCAAACTGAATTTAATATGATAAACTCCAATTAGTATAGCTGACAGAAAAAAATAGTAAGATATGAACATCTCTATCCTCTGCATTCATTCGTCTCCTGAGGGTCCAGGTCCAGTGCTGCTAGGCTCTTTGGCGTGTGAATCCCGGCTGAAACAAAGTGTAATGCAGGGTGAGGCCCCGGCAGCAACAGAAACGTAGGAGTAATTTATATGCTGCCCATATTATAGAACTAATAAACTCTTGGGAGTGATGTGAGCTCAAGGACTATACCTGAAGTAGCATTGAAGGGACCCTGATTGGAGTTTCAGCAGCTACATGGCTCCGAGTCTTCCGCCCATTTCCAGCAAGAACTGAAGGGCTTTCGCCTCCAAAGTCCCAGAAGGTACGCTTCTTAGCCGTAGGCACAGGTGACGTGAACCGGTGGCTCGGGCTCTTCAGCTCACCTGCATCTTTCTCGGCCTTACGTAGGCTTGCCCTTGTGATCACTCTTCTCTCAGCTGTTGCTGGTTCAGGGTCATTTGAGTTCTTCCTGTTGATCAAACCGCGGATGAACTCGTCCCTCTGCTTGAGCTGCAGAAAGTGTTCCTTCTTCATCTTCTCGATCTCGGACTCCAGGGTCTTCACTTTCCTCTGCAGATCCCGGACCATTGCATTGTCTGCTGGCCTCTTAGAATTTGGTGTGCTGAAACAGCTCCCGTCTAGAATAGACCGCTTCACCTTTCTTTGCGTTGAGCATGGCGTGGTGGTAATGTGAGGTGAGGGGGCAGCACATTGTTGTGGCAAGCCGTTGGGAGCAAGTGACTGAGCCTGAACAGTCAGCAGCTTCTGTTGCTGCTTCACCACCTGCTGCCTCAGCTCACTGTTCTCCTTCTGAAGCTCCAGTACTAGCTTGGCCTGATCAGTATCAGAATCTGGCGCCTTGAAAACTTCCTCATTCCCAGCGGTCAATGGCTGAAAAATTACAAGATTATTCATTTTGTCACGAGTTCTGTTCAGTAGAATGTTACAAGATATTAGTTCATAAAATCATATTTTCATACCTTTGTTTTTATCTCCTTGGCGCGATCAGCCCAATGAAGAGTGTTCTGTGTCTCACCAAAGGAAAGATTCGAAGGGCTGATGTTTGCAATCATGACAGTGTTGCAGGATCCCCCAAGTGAATCCTTGAGGAGCTGGGTCAGCTTGGAATTGCGATATGGCACATGCCTCTTCCCCTCCACAAGAGCATTGATGCAACTGCTGAGTGCGAGGAGAGACCGATTTATGTTCGCTCCTTCCAGCGACCTCTGTGAGCGTTGGTCAGTTGCTATAGCCCTCTCTGATCCAGCAAGATCAATGAGTGAGAGCTTTCCAACTCGTGTTACAACACTAGTTCCATCCATGTATCTATATTCCACGACAACCTGCAAAATTTGCAATAGTTTATATTTATGCAGTTCGTGGGACCGTGTTTTTCAGTAGTAGTGAAAGTGCATGATTGACATTCACCTGTAGTATTGCATGGGAGCGCGATGAGGTCTCATTAACTCGAGTTGGTTCAGTTGTTCTATTCTGGTTGCCTTGCTGAAGTAATTTCATAACCTGTGATGAACAATGTCAAGAATGTTATTATCATTTTCATTGCCAACTGCAAAGCAATGCTCCCTCTGTCCCATAATATAAGAGTGTTTTTGACACCACGCTAGTGTAAAAAACGCTCTTATATTATAGGGCGGTGAGAGTAGTAACTAAGGAAGAGCTTATTACTTCATCTGTAGAGTATGCTCTATATTGTGTAAGACCAGCAGCAACAGTTCCCTGGAATGCACAATACACTTTTCTGTTAGAATACTCATAATAAGAAGGGGTATAAATTGTACATATACTGCAAAATGCGTACAGAACATACAGAATGGATCATTTGGCAACATAATATACTTTTTCGTTCTGTTCGAACTGATTAATTTTACTCTACTAGGAGGACTACTAACTTGATATCACCAAGAGTAAAGTAAAGTTTCTCAACAAAAGCTTGCTTCATTGGTTGAAAGATGGTTATAGGCTAGAATACCTGCTGCTTGTCTTCTCTCAGAAGGAGGGGTCTACCAGGAGATAGCAAGTCCCTCACTGTCTCATTGTAGACCTCGAGGTACGACAGCTGAATCGAGTGGTTGCCATCATAGCTCCTCTGCCTCACCTTCAAGAACAAATCCTTGATTGCGAGCACCATTACGCCAGGGTTATCCATGGTCCCGAGCATTGTGTAGGTCTTCCCAGCCCCTGTTGCTCCATAGCAAAACACGGTCCCATTCCTCCCTTGCAAAACACCTTCCACAAGATCTGCTGTTCTGCAATATAAGAATGGAGGATTGGACTCATGTTAAATGCCAGGGAAGTGGAGAAGTGCAATTGAGAAAACATTGCAAGTACATACTATACCATTGATTTGTCCTAATATTCAAGAAATTAGCTCACTCCTGTAATCAATATCCTAGACCTACCATTACTCTCGCCCAACATTTCACAAATACTACCACTTCTGTAACCATTTTCTCAACTATCATAAAAATGTGTCTCCTATCGAATCTAGTCATAAAAGATGTATGCAGCTTCATCCGCAGATTTATCACTTCCAAATTCAAGAGCACAAACAACTGCATCTTGGTATATTGTTTCTTTCTAATATAACCAAATAATGAAATAATTGTTTGAAACATGTGCATTGTAAAGAAATTGATTGAAGGTAGTGCGATTCTTACGAGGTGCTATAGACTTCGGCCTGCGCCGTGGAGTCGGGGAAGGAAGCGTCGAAGCAGAAATGGCGACCTCGCACGCGCTTCAGGCGGAGGTAGTCGTTCTCTGAGGCCAACTCCGTGAGGTACACGTCCTTCTTGTTGACGATCTTGACGCAGGTCTTGGACCCGGCCTCCTTCTCCTTCCTGGACATGGGCCGCAGCCTGACGAAGACCATGATCCGGCTCCCTGTTGCGTCAGCATTGGCAGCTCCCATCTCCCCTACAGCCTTGAGCTTGCCGCCGATGCCTCCTCCGAGTGAGAGCTTCCTGGCCTGCAGCGCGGGGAGAGCCGGCGCCGCCTTCTTGACGGGGCAGGACATGACGTTGGCGGCGAGGGCCACGTTCTCCTTCTCCTTGGGCTCCGGCGGCCGCGAGAAGACGACGACCTTGTCGTTCTTGGAAGGGGCCCTCGCCTCCGGAGGCCCCATGTTGTTCTCCCTGTCCCTGAGGACCGCCGCCTCGGGGAGCGGAGCAAAGGCGTCGCGGTGACGCCTGGCCCCCTCCCCCTCCTCCTCCTCCTCCCCAGCGTTCTCGTCCCTGTCCTCCCCGACGTTGGCGTGCGGGATGGTGCGGCTGCGGCGCATGGCGGCGCCGCCCTGCGAGGAGGCGAGCATCTGCTTGTGCTGCTCGTAGAAGAGGTTGAGCGCGCGCATCTTCTCCTTGAGCCCGTGGTGCGTGTTGGGGAGGAGCGACGCCCGGCGCCCCGCGGCGTCGCGGCCCGGGGCCGACATTGGCACCCGCGCCGCCGACGAGCTCCACTGGCGCGCGCCCGGGTCGCCGCCCTTGATGGCGCTGGCCTGCGAGCGCGTGGAGACCGGCATCTTCGTCCGACAAGATCTGGTCAGAAGCTCGACCTGAGCATGGACGACCCCAGCAGCTCCCCCACTCGCACGGCTCGCTGGAAATCTCGCAAAATCCCGGCAAGAGAGATGCACTAACGGCCCGAAGTCGGAGCAAGATCTCGAAATTTGACCGGAT